GTAGGGTGGACACGCCGCTGACAGTCTACACGTTTGACGTGACCAACCCCAAGCCGGGGTTTGCGACCCCTCGGTAGCCATTGACAGCATTCATCTGGGGCTCACGATGCGTAGCTTCAAAAAGGACGAAGAAGGCGACGACATGCAGATCCCCGTGGACTTCGAGAACGATCCCGAGTACAAAGAGATTCGCGAGGGTCTGGACCCGGCCTTTCTCGAGGCGGCGTCCAACGGTGTTGAACTCTATCTCAAGGGCGACTGGCGTGGGGCCAAAACTGCCTTCTCACTTGCGCTGGAGCTGCGGCCGAGCGACGGCCCCGTGTCCCACGTCATGGGCTACATGAAGAGCTTTGACTTTGATGTGCCAAAGGACTGGGACGGTGTCCGGGAGCTTGACGGCTATTGATGAAGTAGAAGTAATGTTATGTGCATTTGGATAAACGCGTCAGCCTTTTCAAGTTGAATCAAATGGCATTAACACAGCAGCGGGTTCTTGGATCCAGTGACTCGGAAGCCAACCGTCCGATCGATCCATCCGCTGCCGAACGCAAGCAATCTGCATCGAGAACGCGCATTTCGGCTCAAAGCGCTGCCAACATTGATATGCCAATGTGCAAAGTCAAAAATGGTTTTTTTTCCTTGCTTATTTCGTAGGTTATTTTCTGGGGCTCTGTACAATAAATTAACGGACCTGCAAGGTCGTATACCAATGGCATGACAACCTTGGCTATGCATTTGGTAAAAGAGAGCGTCGTATCGGGGATAGGCCTCCTTCAAGAGGCTGCGTATGTTTTGAATCGCAGCATTTCTTAACAATGGCGTACGCCAAATATAAATCCTGGTGACGCCGCAAATAGTGCAATTCGGCATCACTTTGGACACGAGTTTCGAGCGCTGTAGGCCGCGCACGACGGTGCAACTTGGTGCTCCGTGCTATACAAAGCAAACGTAATCACTCAACGACGTAGGAGCCATTTTGTATTTTGACCAACGTTGACCATCAAATCGCAATCGCGAACGCACCGCGACAGCTTGCGTGTTATTAGCCACAGTATCCGGATACCTGGTGCAACATCGCCAGGCCGCGCGGTCGACCGCTTTTCATTTGAAATCGAATTGGCCAAGGCTTGGTACATATATAGAGGACGCTGTGGAGAGTACGGAAAGCGAGGGCGCGCTTGCTTGCGAGGCGTACAGCGGTCGCGAGACGGGATCCAAGATGCGCGCCAAACTAAGATCGTAGTGCCATCTGAGAGGCACCACGCTCGCCAAACTAAGATCGTAGTGCCATCTTAGAGGCAGGACGCCACGACGCCGACGCCACTTGCCGGCGACATGACGTTTAAAATGGAATCGCCCATAGTTGGCACATTGATAGAAGACACTTTGGAGAGCAGAGCGGGCCGCGATTCGTCGTCGTTGTAGTCGTACAACGCACACAATGCTTGGTCATAGATGCCAAGCGCTCTTAAATCGCTAAAAAATAGCCGCATTGGCGCGTCGTAGTCTTCGTCTTCTGCACTTGTAGCGACGATCACCCTCTGCACTGGATCAAGAATGCGATTCACAGCAACAATGATGGACGTATTTCTGCGTCCTCGTACAGTGTCAGAGGACCACAAGAGGCCGAATGTTGCGAGGCAGAGTCATTTGGACACTGCAGAGTTTGCGTTTGCAGTCGTCGGAGAAGATGTTGAGGTGGCGTTGCAGACTTTCCAGCACCTCATCCCCCAAAACGCCTTTACACTGAGCGCCGTTTACTGGGTGTCTATGTGCGATCAAGATTCCCGCCACACCTCCGTACACTGCAAGGAGCGGTTTGTGTGAAAGTTATACTCGAGAGCAGGACTAGATGTGAACGCACACATCTTAACATGGTGATACGAGAGAGAAGATTAGCTGAAATGGGCCTTCAAGACGCCATAGCTAGGCGCCACGCACACCGTTGAAGGAGCGCTGGAGCGCTGGTCATGTGCATACACGACGTTCGATTCACTCGAGCTCGCGATCCACGGCCAAGACAAAC